GAACGTAAACGGTACGTCGAAAATAGTTTCGGTAATTTTGACTGAAATAACTGAAAATAATTAATTAACTCCGAAAAAATAATATCGGAACTGAAATATTATTATACTGATAAAAGTTGGGATATTACAATTCCTCTCCGCCTCCGCACCCTTATAGGGATGGACCAGAAGTGATACCCTTCGATCAGATTTGTGTAGTCGGTATTACCTCTTGGTGCATCCGCTCTCCCATGACTCTGACTTTTTTACCTGAACTCTTTTCGGACCAGGAGACATTATAGTTGTGTTAGCTGTTGCCTTTTTCTTTTTTTTTCGTTTCTGGTTTTACTTTTCGTTTGACTTGTTGTATTTCAGACATTTGACTCGTAAATTTGTGGCTTCTCAATTCATTTAGGACTTTTTATGTATATAGGTTGTGAGTCTTAACACCCGTGGGTGTTTTCAACGACAATTCCCACATGTTTTTTGGTGTCCATTACATCTCTCAAAAATCAATCACTTTTTATGGAAAAATAATTATTAGGATTGGTAGAGACTAGAGAGTAGAGACGTGTAGAGTAACACCACATATATAGCACGTGGAAATAGATACATATAGCTATTATTTGTACGAAGCAATGTTCAGTCTATTCTGTCAATATCAATCCATGTCAGCAGGTCTTATAAATTTGTAAGCAGAAAAATGGAAGATAACAAGGAGATGGTGCATTGTTTCTCACTAAAATAACAAACATCGTTCGATTTTCTCTCTGTTCTCTGTTTTTTTTTTTTTTTTTATTTTTTCTCTTTCTTCAGAGCCTCCTGGCCAGGCCCTGCCATGTCCGCCATTGCTACTGCTACTGCCCTGTCTCTTCCAAACTCCTCCTCCCGTTCAAACAATTTTAACATGACCAAAAGGGTAGTCATCTTGTATACTTATAATTTTATTTTATTTTATTTTTATTTATTTGTGTATGTCCCTTTTGCTTGTTTCTTGCTAATAACTAGTACATCTATGATCAAAGCAATGCTATGTTATATTTATTTAATATTGTTTAGTTTTTATGAAACATCAAAAGTTAGCATGAAAGATATAAATTTTAGAGGTAAATGTCTTTTAATTTATTTATTTTGAATGTGATTAGGCGGGGCAGTCCGCTCCAGCCCGCGGCTTGCACGGTTAGGCCCGTTACTTGGCGAGCCAAGAAAAAACAGGCCCAACCCGCTCCTTTTGTTTATTAACGTAGCTTGACTTCCAACTTATGCAGGTACATAGATCACAAGCAAGGGATAAAACAATTGAAGATCGAAGCACAAATGAAATTGATGTGTTACTCCCCAATCCACGTACTTCCACACGATGTCTCGACACAATGAAGAGCAGAAAGCGCAACGAAAATAACTTAAATGTGTCGGGCCCTATCCAACCTTACAGTGACCGTCTCAAATGTTTTTGGTACCCTGTAGCCTTTTCCTCCGACTTGAAAGGCGATACCTTGGTGAGCACATTATTAGCTCATAATTATTCCTGTTCTTTCTATTAGTACTTGTGTTTTGAAGAACCATGGGTGGTTTTTCTAATAGGTTCCCATAGATTGTTTTGAAGAACCATGGGTGATTTTTCGTGGTAAAGATGGCAACCCCGGGTGTGTTCAGAACACGTGCGCTCACAGGGCATGCCCGCTTCATTTGGGTTCAGTAAACGAGGGCCGTATACAATGTCCTTATCACGGTAAGATCGTTTTAGGACACTAATATAATCTAAAAGAAGAAAAAGTGAGAACAAAACTTTATCCTTATCATGTGATTGGTCGATATATATATCAGGATGGGAGTACTCGATCGATGGAAAATGTGAGAAAATGCCATCAACTAAATTACTTGACATCAAAATCAAGTCGTTGCCTTGTCTTGAGCATGAAGAAATGATTTGGATTTGGCCGGGCAATGATCCCCCAACCGCTATACTTCCTTCATTATTACCACCTTCTGGTTTCCAAATACACTTAGAGGTTTGTTTCACAAGGAGTTGTATCGATTATTATATCCTTTTTAACGGTTTATGGTTTGTTCATGTTCAGTCAAGACTATAATAGTTGGAAAAAAAAGTTCTTAATTCTCCTTTTTTGTGTGTGTGGGTGTGTGTATAACAGACTATAATTGAACTTCCTGTGGAACACGGATTACTACTGGAAAACCTTTTAGATCTTGTACATGCTCCTTTTGTACACACCTCGACATTTGCTAGGGGATGGAGCATTCCAAGGTTATCTTTTTTGGCTTCTTGATTTGTTTGCTTATATCATGCTAACCAGTGATGATCGATGGCCAAAAACGACCTCTCTGCGAAACATTTATATACTCACAATTAGATCATTAAGAGGCCTGTAAAAGAAAATCTGATGCCTGCACTTGTAATTTACTCTCAGGTTGGTGAGATTCTTGTCACCGTCATCCAGTCTGCAAGGATACTGGGAGCCTTACCCAATAGATATGGAGTTCAGGCCACCTTGCATGGTGCTGTCGACAACCGGGATCTCCAAGCCCGGGAAATTAGACGGGCAGAGCACAAGAGAGGGCGAAACACACCTTCACCAGCTTCATGTCTGCGTGCCTTCATCGAGACAAAAGACGAGGCTTTTGTACAGGATGTCGCTCGACTTTGCCCACATACTAAAGCACGTACCATTCATCGACCGCCTGTGGAGACACTTTGGCAACAAGGTGAAATTTTTTTTTGAGGTGCATTTATAATTTTTAACTGAAAAGTTGTTTTGCTAGTGCATGTTTCACTGCGTATATATATTTTTTATGTTGAGCAAACAGGTCCTGAATGAGGACCTAAGAATAGTATTGGGTCAACAGGAGCGCATGCTAAATGGCGCGAATGTGTGGAATTGGCCTGTGCCATATGATAAGCTTGGAGTAAGATATAGGCTATGGAGGAACTCGGTCGAGCAAGGAGGTTCAGATGGACCGCCCTTCGCCGAGTCAACATAAAACCCGGTCGGCCAATATTTGGAGTTAAACTGGTTTTGGCTACTTCACACTTGATTAAATACACCCCTCCTTGCAGAATGTAGGTGATGTTTGGCTCGCACATGCATTGATTACGGTCCATCATCAGCCGATTATTAAAGAAGTCCTCACAAGTCAAAATTATGCTATCTCGGAAAAAAAAAATTACTAATGTTATTACGTTGTCTTATAATTTAAGGGGTGTATTTAATTAAGATTATTAAGGATTTTTAAGACTTAGAAATCTTAGTGTATTCAATTTAGATTATTTAAAACTTTTAAAAATCCTGAGGTATTCAATTAAAATTTTCAAAAATCGAATACCTCAGGATTTTTAAAAGTCTTACAAAATCTTGAGGTATTTATTTTTTTTTACACTAGGATTTATTAAGACTTTTTAAGATTTGTTGAGATTTCTAAACAAAAAATCTTATATGAAATTCAACTTCAAATCCTACCTCCAGACTTAAGATTTCATAGAATTCTTCTCAAATCTGAAAATCCTAAAAAATCTCAAATCATAAAAAATCTTAAAATGTTACTTAAATTCTCAATTGAATACACCCCAAAGTCATAATTTCTTATAAAAAGTATATCCTGATATTACGAAATGATATACTTTTATTTATTGTGGTAAAATACACGTCCGTTGTGTATGATTAAAAACATTTGTATTAATTATTAATTTTATATAATTAAATTGAAAATTTTATGATTGTTTCATGATATTTTTATTAATAATACATGAAAGTTTACCAATTGTAAAAATAGGTTAATAGAATATCATCTCTTAAGTAAAATTAGGTAAAACTTTCAACTAATTAATTAGGTAAAATTTTCTACAATCTAACAATTTTTTTTTTTTTTTTTGGAAATATATTACGTGAGATTTTCTGTTGAATATAACAATTTTTTTCGTAGTGACCTCATTTGTCCAAATAGAATTAGTGTGAAATCACATTAGTATCCTAAGGTGATGAACAACTTTCCGTGGACTTGGAGATGCAATAGAGCCTAAAATAATCACATTTTTTTTTTTTTTTGACAAAGCCCCAAAACACAAAATACACGGACACTACAAAAAATTGTTATATTCCAACGGAAAATCCTATGGCAATATATTCCAATGATATAGCTTTCGTTTGAATGATTCCAACGAAAATTCCAACGAAAATATTCCATTGGAATGTATTTTTCATTGGAATTTTAGATGAAATTTGATGATTCTAACGGCTTTTTACCATTGGAATATCAATTTTCCGTTGGAATTTTTATTTCCATCCCCGTTGGAAAATGCATAATTGAAATTGTCAAAATTCAACGAAAATTCCAATGAAAACTCATTGCAACGGAAAATTTTTGTTGGAATTTTCGTTTGAATACATTGAAAAATTCCAACGGGAATAATAATATTGAAATATCCGTCGAAATTGCAGTTGGAATAATTTTATTGGAATATATTTCCGTTGGAATTGCAGTTGTTTTCTTGCAGTGGGTGATCGAATATATAAGTTATGTTGTATTTGATTTGATTTGTTGGATAACAAGAGCTAAGTTTTGAAAAAATTGATTATGTTAGGTAAGAGTAAGATTTTAGAGTTTGTAATAAAAATGAGATAGTCGTAAAGACCTTGGACCGGCGGATTCGAGATGATCTACTTTTCTCGCCGATGACCTTATCCACGTGTGGTCCTTACCCGGATATTATTCTTTATTATCCTTTATTAGTCTTCATTATTAGACGGTCTAATTAAGCGACTGACCCAATCACCTCAAGGTAGGAAGCTGCGTAGGTTGAGCTCACGTGTTGTCCTCCTGGTCAATCCATCGGCCAGTTACGCCTTCAGGTCGAGTTTCAACCAGGCCGTCAACGGGCCCTAACTCGACCTGTCGGTGTTCCTTTGAACCCCAACGTCCTTGACACGAAGAATCATTGTTTTGTAGCTATGTTTGACTTCCATTCGGCCTGCAAGTGCTTATGTTCGACCAACCAATTTGTCTAACTTGGCCTACTGGTTTATCGAGTTTATTCTTACTCGGTGTGATATCTCATATCAAAAATACTACGTAAACTATAATGATTAAAGTTGATTTAGTCGGAAGTGGTAAGTAGTTAAAATTATGTGAGTGATAAATAATGAATTAAAGTTGATATGGTGTGTTAATATTATTAATTGATATTATTTAATTATATTGATTAAGAGGAATGTTTGATTGATTAAATTTAAGTTTAATTATAAGTTAATAAAAGTATCTAGTCATAATTGATAATCCCATCCCCCTTATATATTAATCCAGAACGCGCTGAGCTTATGTGGCTGCTTCTGGTGCTTCGGAATCCTATGCTGCAAAATTACATGTTTCGTTATTAGGCTTGGGTAAATTTTAATTCAATTACAAACCAAAAATAATTAGGTTCGGATTACCATAAATATGTTGATTATTTATGGTCATGTTACATGTATTAATTGTATTTTAATATCATTCCTTATTATAACTATTCAATTGTATATATATTTTAAAAGTTAATAATTTTTGTATTTTTTATCAGTTTTACATATATAATATATCAAATTAATCTTCTTTTGATGAGTTTCGATTTAACATCCATATTGTATGTATAAAAAAATAATTTATATTTATTTTTATAACAATAATAAAATTATTTTTAATATTAATTAGAAAAATAAAATTATTTATCAACTAATATATTTATATGTCAAGTAGTTATATGATATAAGTTATAAAAACTAATATAATATAACACATGTAAGTCATAAGTAACACATATCATTTTAAAATATATAGTAATATATTTTTTTTGTAAAAAAGTAAACTAAATTTAATATAATTTTCTCAGTAATTTTAAAATTTAAGAATAATTTTTTAACAAGCACCCGTGTAATACACGTGTGTTGTACTAGTATGATATATAACTAAACGGGGCCAAAATTTTTATCATAGGCTTCTTTAACCAATGGATTAGACAGTGATAAAGTTCATTGCATTCCCACTTCAAAAAAATAAAAATAAAAATAAAAATAAATAAGGCCTGTATAATTCCCCAATTCTGCTTTGCCCACTTATTTTTCCCTCCCATTTCGGTTCGGTTGTCAATTTTACCAATTTTACATTTTTTTAAACCCTTGGGTAAATATTCTGAGTAAAACTTGCAAGACAACCTCATGATTTGTCGTGATACCTTACCTTTTAAAAGGAGGTGGTGGTAAAACTCGAGTTTAACCTTGTCAGAGAGTCTCGCCGCTAGATCATCATGTAACGGTCAGAAATAATTAATTTAACGGTTATAAACCTCGACGGATAAAAATTCCCTTAACCTTAATTTGGATAGATGTGGATATTGAACCTAATAGATTCATGTTTACCCTTTGTGTCACAAACTAATTAACATTAACAAATACTTTCACATCCACACAAGTAACCAAATAAGAAACAAATAAAGATTAATCATTGGAGCATGACATAATAACGAAACGGTAATGACAGTATTTTTCAAAAGTAAAATAAATCCCAAACCTAATACCATTATTAATTACAGTATAAAATGGCAGGAAAAGAAAAATGAAAAGGGTAGATTGCAGTCAATGTCTCTTAGCCGGATCGAAATCACTCGGCGGCTTTTAGGGAATTCCCCACGTCAATCACAAATCTATACTTGACATCGGCTCTCGCCAGCCGCTCCATGGCCGTATTGATATAATCCATTGATATAATCTCAACGTCAGGCAGTATATTATGCTTAGCCGCAAAGTCAATCATCTCCTGTGTCTCCTTAATCCCACCAATCATGCTCCCACCAATCATCTTCCTCTCCGTCGCCAGCGAGAACATCGGCAACTCCAAGGGCCTCTCCGGCAACCCCACCACCACCAGCTTCCCGTGCGGCTTCAAAAGGCTCAAATAAGCCTGAATTGAGTGAAAAGCCGATACACAGTCGAGGATTCCGTCCAGAGACCCCTTAGCCGACTCCAGCTCGTGGCTCAGCAGGAATTGGTCGGCGCCCAGAGTTTCAAGAGCGTACGCCTTCTTCTCCGGCGCAATGTCCATCACGGTGACCTTGGCGCCGAAGGCCTTGAGGAACTTGACCGCCACGTGGCCCAGTCCGCCGAGGCCGGCAACCCCCACGTGGAGGCCCGGCTTGTCCAGCCCGTAGTACCTCAGCGGGCTGTAGGTTGTGATCCCGGCGCACACCAGCGGGGCGCCGCGGTCCATCGGGAAATTCTCCGGCCAGCGGATGATGAAGCCCTCATCGGCGACCATCAGATCTGAATAGCCGCCGTAGGTTATCGATCCGTCGGCCTGGACGCCATTGTAGGTGTCCAGTTTCTCCGGACAATAGTTCTCGAGATTGCTCTCGCACTGGTCGCATTTACGGCACGATCCGACCATGACGCCGACGGCGACCTTGTCGCCGACCCTGAATTTATCGACCTCAGATCCGACCTCGGTGACGACGCCGACGATCTCATGGCCGGGGATCATAGGGTACTTGGCGAATCCCCAATCGTTTTTGACGAGGTGGAGATCCGAGTGGCAGACGCCACAGTACAGGACTTTGAACTGGACGTCGCGGCTGCCGGTGGCCCGCCGGTTGAACTCCAGAGGAGAGAGAATGCCCGACGAGTCTGTGGCGCCCCAACCGAGAGCCTTCACTGGAGTTGCCATTTTTTTTTTTTTTTATATTACTGAACTAAAATCGCAATTATAATTTGTTTTTGCTGAGAATATTATGCGCTGATAAACAATGTAGATAACGTACAATGGATAGAGCGAGGGAGGTGGTGTTTATATAGGAAGAACTAAGACTGTGGTTTGGATGACGCTGAGTCACGGGTGAGTCATGAGAGGATAGATGGGGCGTCAGAGGTGAGTCAGATTAGTTTTAGATTGTGAATAACGATTTTGTTGCACATTTTTAAGATTACTTCTTAGGAAAGGGATATCGGGGCCCACTCAAATAT